CTTGGTTGCGGGCACATCCCCAGTAGGGGGTGTGCAGGAGGCAGCTGATCGATGTTTCTCTCTCATCGATGTTTCTAACTCTCTATTCCTCTCCCTTCCTCTCTGTGAAAAATCAATAAAAATATTAAAAAAAAAAAAAACTAAAGAAAACCAAGGCATAAAAATGTCACATACTTAACTGACATTTACTATGATTTTTAAGAAACTAAAACTGCATTCAGAAGCAAGATCATAAAGGAACCATTTATGAAGTAACATGCACTTTTTAAAAAAACTGCGAGTTCAAAAGTAAACCATCACCGTCAAAACTCTGCTCACCAACTTCAAATAATGAAAATATGTGTTCCTGGATAGAATTAGAATCAACTCATAGGAAACCAGGTGAGTTGATTTCACCAGTCAATGCTATTGTGTCCACATTCCTCAGGATTCTGTCATCCCTTTTCTATTTTCACCATCTCAAACCCCCACAGCATTTAGTGACATAATTTTAAGTAGCACTTGATGCAATAACTTCCAAATATTCTCATTGCCATTATCTTGGATTAATCCTTCGTTACTTCTCACTTGTTCTGCTACAGCTGCCCACCCTAACTTATCTCCCTATGTTCATCCTCATCCTTCTCCAATTCATTCTTAACACTGAACTGGAGTCATTTCTCTCAAACCCAAACCCAATTTGATAATGTTCCTTTCCAACTCAATTCCTTAAAGGGTTCTCCATCACCTAGTCCAGGGGTCCTCAAACTTTTTAAACAGGGGGCCAGTTCACTGTCCCTCAGACCATTGGAGGGCCGGACTATAGTTAAAAAAAAAAACTATGAACAAATTCCTATGCACACTGCACATATCTTATTTTGAAGTAAAAAAAACAAAACGGGAACAAATACAATATTTGTATTTGCATGTGGCCCGCGGGCCGTAGTTTGAGGACCCCTGACCTAGTCCCTTCAGCTACTTCATTTTTCCTCATTACATTTAATACCATCTGCTAGGTCAACCTGTGGGTCTCGACCCCTTTGGGGGTCGAATGACCCTTTCACAGGGGTCACCTAAGACAATCAGAAAACACATAATTACATACTGTTTTTGTGATTAATCACTATGCTTTAATTATGTTCAATTTGTAACAATGAAAATACATCCTGCATATCAGATATTTACATTACGATTCATAACAGCAAAATTACAGTTATGAAGTAGCAACGAAAATAATTTTATGGTTGGGGGTCACCACAACATGAGGAACTGTATTAAAGGGTCGCGGCATTAGGAACCACTGTGCTAGATAGTACTATATTACTTGTTTGTTCACTATCTCCACTTCAACTAGAACAGCGGTCACCAACCAGTGGTCCGTGGACCACTGGTGGTGCATGAGGTCTGAAAAGTTGGCGACCGATGAACTAGAATATAAATCCATAAGGGCAGAGTTTTTGTTCACTGCTATATATTGCATGGTAAGCACTCAAGCATGAATGAGTGAATGAATGAAAGATGACCTACAGGCCAGAGGCCTCATGACCTGCCAGAACCCTCTTCTTTTCACTTTACTCCCACTTCTGCCTATACTAAATTGCTGGGTTACCTAAATACAATATGCACTTTCATGCCTCTTTCTTTGCTATATGCTATTTATTTCCTTTGCCTGATACAAACTCCCCTCACCATTCAATCAACCTGCCACACTATCACCCATATTTTAAAACCATCTCCAGAAAGCTTCCCCTGACCTCCCATATAGAGTATATCACTTTCTTTCCTTTGTGTTACATCTGTACCTTTATCTACAGTGGCTCTACCCAACATGTACTGGAATGTGTATCTCCCCTGCTAGGTGGTGAATTCTTTCAGGCCAAGGCCTATTGCTTATCTCTTTACCTCCCATACCCAGGAAAATGCATGTAATAAAGCAACTACTCATAAATACTGCGTAAATTAACATATGCATAGCTATTCTGTAAGAGGAATGAAAACATGGAGTTTCAAGAAGTCACTCCTCCAATTCCAAGGCGATAACCAGTCAAGAGATAAAAAGAGTTACGAGCAATAACATCATCCAAGGTAATAAAAGTTACACAAAGAACATACATCACCAAACAATTCCAAAACAACTGGCATACACTCACTTTATTAGATATACATGCGGGCTCCTTCTTTTGTCTTACTTAAAAGAAAAACCTGGGTTCCACATGAACAATATATTAAATAGGTCACTCCCTGAGGAAGCTTTTTATGTTCCATTTAGTACAAGTTTTTGTGTTCCCTCATATTTGATTCAAACCTCAAAACAGCAGTATAGGACTAGATTTTACAACTAACCACACCTAATCCTAAATCAAAGACCAGATAGAGCAGTGGTTCTCAACCTTGGCTGCACATTAGAATCACCTGGGAATCTTTTTAAAATCCTGATTTCTGGGCCTCATTCCGGAGGCCAAGGTTGAGAACCACTGAGATAGAGTTTTCTACCCTTTGTAATTCATCTACGCCATCAATGGTTTACAGCTGTGCCTTCAAACCACAGTGTAGCCACACAGGGGACCCAGACTAATCATCTTCAGCCATGGAAGCCTTATTCACTATCCCAATGTGACTTACAAGAAGACTTACTATTTTTCTCCAAATACTGTAGACCAAGGCCCTTAAATCCAACCATAGGAATACACTGACCTGCCTACTTAGTTCTAAGAGTGTGAACCTGCATGTAAATATATAATCACACAGAGTTGTATGTGAATGAATAGACATAAATGTACATAAAGCCATTTGGAAAACTTAAGTTTTAAACCCACTGATAGCTAATATAATATCAAGTGAAGCCAGAGGCCAAGATATGATCCTTGATTCCTCCATCCACCACCATTCAAAAACCAAGTTATGGAAAACTTACCTCCTATTATTTTTTTCAAATAGTATTTCTCATTAGGATAAAAGTCTTTTACTAGTAATTGGTCTCCCTGTCTTTGGACTGAATGAAAATTGTATCTACCATTTGTTGAGGGGTTATGTAACCAGCATTGCATTAAGCACTTGATTACTGAACCCTACATTTTTCTGTTCTCACCGCAACACTGCCAAGCAGGTATTATGGTCTTCATTTTCACAGATGGGGGAACAGAAGCTCTGAGAAGTTAAGTGACTTGCCTAAGTCATGCAGCTGGAAGTGTAGTGGAAATTCAAACTCAGGTCTATGTTCCCATATCCTTAACCTTCTTCACTTCAGTCCCCAATGTTACCTTTCCAAAAGGCAAATGTAATATTTCATCTCACATAAAGTGGCGCAAACAAGACCCAGTCTCTCCAGCCCTCATCCCCTGTCATTCTCACCCCTTTCTGTCACACTTCACCCCCAGCAGTTCCCTAACCTGCCTCACTGCTTTATCTGTGAACGCACTTTTTCTGCCAAGAACACTTTTCTCCATTGGCAGGCTAATTCCAACACAAATTTCAAGATTTACTCAGACGATCCTTATTCTGGAAAGCCTTTGCCCTAACAAATACATATCCAAAACTGGGTTAAGTGATCATTTGCTATGATTATCAGCTGGTGTCTTATCAGACTGTATTATACAACTTTATCTTACAAGACTATTAGTTCCTGAAAAGTAAACACTGCATTTTTAAATCTCTGTATTCCTAGTACAATGGGTATGTACTAAGGAAGGACTCAATAAATGTTGAATTAATAAATTCACCAACAGCAGTACAGCTTAAGAACTTGACCCTAAAGTTAACTTGATGTGCTTTCAAATTCTAACCTGCCACACGGCATACCTGTCAAGCCTGCCGCAGCCTTGAAAATCTTTTTAATTTCTTCATCTGTAAAACGGTAGATAACTACACCTATCTCATTGTCTGGAGACAGGAGTAAAAGAAATAATACATTTAGCACAATATCTGGCACAATGAAAGCACGCAATCATTAGCAACATTTTTCCCCCCCACTCTCAAAGTTTATCCACGCTGACAAAGTCGCATCTCAGAAAATACCTTCCCCTCGCAGCTTTCATCAGAGCTTTAGGATTTCTCCAAAAAAGTAGGAAGTTAAGATCTTTCCGCTTCAGTAACGACCATCACTCCCTAAAACCACTATCGAGTATCTGAAGTTCATTACTTCTTACCCACCCCTGGGTGTCTTCCCCCAAAGCAGGAGACCCTGCCCCTAAGCAGAAACCAGTCGGTGCCTTCTTCCAAGAACCAGCTCCCCTGCACCAGTGAGGGCAGCTTCACCATCTAGCATCCTCGAAGGTTCAACATAGAGCCTCTTCTAACCATCCCAAGATCCGGGCCCCGAAAGTATTAGTTCAAGATAGAGAATGAACCCCTGGCAGGAGGAAGCCAAGGCAAGAGCCCTCTCCAAAGCTTCCCCAGTAAGAATCCTTCGGGTCTGTGACTCTCACTGCGCTCGCCCCCGCCTAGTAGCCCTGCGTCTGGTCCAGTGTCTCAAAGGCGAGGTGTCAGGACTTCCCGGCACCGGATGCCTTCGCCCACCGGTTCCTGCACTTCCACCTCGCCTCGCCCTCCCGCAGGGCGCGGCCTGCTCCCTCGCCGCCCGCCGGAGCCGAGCCGCTACTCACCGCTTCTTGGGGATGGTGCCCGACTCCGGCGCGGCGGGAGGGGCCGGGGGCGCCGCCGTGGCAGCCGCCGCGGCTCTCCGCGCTTTGCACTCATTGGTACTCGGAGCCTCCCGGGGCCGGCCCAGCAGATGGCCCGAGAGAACCCTCAGCCGCCGCCCCGCGCGGTCCCGGCCCGGGGCCCGGTCCACTGCAGAGCCGGAGCCCGCGCTCGCGCCCGTCTCGCCTGCTGCAGCCGCCGCCTCCGCCATGGCTTCCGCCTTGTGCCGCCGTCCGGGACCGCTGGGCGCGGGTGAAAGGTCACTCAGAACGGCGCCCGGCGCGACCATTCGCTGCGGCGCATCCCGGCAGCCACCGCGGCGACTGGGCGGCGGGTGCCATGCGCCTGGAGCTTTACATTCTCCGCTCCCGCCCACCCCGCCCGCCCGCCCGCCTCCGCGGTCACGCCTCGGACCGTGTGCACCTGCCCAGCAGGTGAGTTTGAACTGTCCCCGGACTGGCCCAGCTCGGGCTGGGCTGGACCGGGACCCAAACCACAAACGCCCCCGAGTTGCCCTAGTGCCCAAGGTAGTGCCCTGGGCCTCGGGAGTAGCTTGTGGGGGCAGAAACCTCGGATCGAGAGGCGTGGGCGGTGCTACTGGACCTGACAGAACCAGCTGCATCCTTTCCCTGCATAAGCTAAGACTGCTCCCCTTCTGCCCTCACTCCCTGCAGAGACACTAAAGTAACTCAAAACGGATTCCTTCCCTATAACCAGTATAGCGGTCGTACTCTCATCGCCTGCTTCGTGCCTCCCGCTGTGCTGGAGGCTAGATCTCAAGTAATTCCCATTTTATAAATGAAAAAACGGAAGCTCCAGAGACACTGATTCGCCCCAGGTCAGTCAGGCAGCTGGTAAATGCTAAAGCTGAGTTGCAACCTATGGTCTCTTTCCATTTCTGCCAGACAGTTTTTTATCGGTTCAGATAAAATTACCCAACTTTTTTTTTATTGCTACAGATAAAATTTCAAAACTTCTTGCTTATCTACAGATTGATTTCATTTCTGGGGAGTGGCACTTGGTAAAATTAGGGGGATCTCAAAGGACAGTTCTCCATAATCGTTTCAGCAGTGGATTAGATTTCAGACCTGACCATCAGAATTAAAGTTTCTTTCTGCATAATGTGCATAATGTCTTGGGAATGGTACCTCCTTTCTGAATAACCACCTTCTTTCTAACACTGGCTCTTGCGAAAAACTTAAAACATTTGAGGAGTTATATGACTAATACAAAAGAATGCTTTAGTGCTGAAAAATTCAGGCAGTAGGAGGACTTGGTTTGTACAGATCTAAAGAGATAGGTCAGTCTTAAATATCTAGTCTAACTCTAGAATCAGTGAGCCCAACTCCTGTTTAGCTGCTGCTTCTAATCATTGTACTCTTCCTAGAGGAAGCCATTGGCTATTTCAAATGGACCAGGAGTGAAGAAAAGGGACAGGAGGAGGAGTAAATTGTTGAGAAAGGCTCCTCAATTTCAAGAGTTCAGCAACTTTAGTCATCAAGGTTTTCACATCCTTTCCAGGTGTTAACTAGAACAAGCGTTAAAACACCAACTAACATATTTGCTTGTAATCATGTAAATTAGTAGATTTCTTGCCAAAATGCTTTTGGGAATGAGATGGGTCTGTTAATTTTTGCTTGACTTCCAGAGAGCTCAAGCTAACACCACTGGCATGCTTTAAATGTAAATGTAGTTAACTGACTTCTTCAGTCTTGTCCAAATTGAGGTATGGACATGCATTTTGCCAACTCTCAGGAGGCATATTTATAAATTTTGCAGATATCAATAGGATAACAAATATTCTTTTTTCCTGGGTGATGAAAAGCTTGATGTAAACCAAAATTATGTACCAGTGGAAAAAGTACTGATTTATGTTTCAAATATGTGCAGAGTAATGAAAAACATACAGGCAATAAAAGCATTTGTTTAAGCCTATTTTATATACCTAATTCTTTACTTTGTCCTATGAGATGCAAAAGTATTTAAGCCAATGTCTCATCCATGTGGTATAATCAGGCTAATTAGGAATTAAGATATATATGTGGGGGAAAACTATTATACTATTAGGTAGAATAAGTGTGATGTAGTTGACCTTGGTGAAGACTTTCCTACCCCTTCTTCTTACAAGGGCAAAGCCCAAGCAGAGTACCCTGAAATTTATTTCATGCTACTTAAGAGGAACAAATGTTTCACTTGAAGCATGGTCCTTTGAGATGCTTATGGTTCCCACAAAAGCAAAACCACAGTGAATATACTACTATTCAGGAGGGCATCAGCGAACCTGTTCTGCTGAGTCTTGGGAACATGTGAACCTTAATAATCTAGATCCAATGGAGAACTGACCACATGTACAGAAACAGGCGATGAAACAATGACATGTCGAATTTTAAATGAAGTAAGCTTTATTTGCATTTATGACATTTCTCTCTTCTAATATGAAGCAAAAAGTCTAAATAGGATAGATTAGCTCCTAAAATATGTACTAAATTTCTTTACTGCTCTGATTTTTATTACTCATCTTCAGAGCGCTAACTCATCCATGAATAAAGGAATTCTAGCATTTTAACACATTTTTTAATATGTTTTCATTGATTTCAGAGAGAGGAAGGGAAAGGGAGAGAGAGATAGAAACATGGATGCCCAAGAGCAAATAGATCAACTGCCTCCTGCATGCCCCCTACTGCGGATCAAGCCCGCAACCTGGGCATGTGCCCTGACCTTAAATCCAACCGGTGATTTCCTGGTGCATTGGACGACACTCAACCAACTGAGCCACACCAGCTGGGCCATACATATTTTTATTATAAAAATCAAACAGACAAAAATAAACAAGTCATAAATTATCACAGATCAAACACCCATGTAACTTTTATCTAGCTAGAGAAATAGAACACTACTAGCCTCCAGCAAGTTCCCTTATGCCCTCCTTCCCAATCACTTAATTCTCCGCCACCTGGCAACAATAACCACTGTCCTGAGTTTTATGAAATGCATTTTTCTTGTTTTTCTTTCGAGTTTTAATGATTGAGCATGCAGTCCTTATTTCTTTGTTTGCATTTATATAAATGGAATCTTTTTTTAATAAGTCTTTATTGTTCAGATTATTACAGTTGTTCCTCGTTTTTCTCCCCATAGCTCCCCTCCACCAAGTTCCCACCCCATCCCATACCCTTACCGCCCCCCCCATTGTCCTCATCCATAGGTGTTCAATTTTTGTCCAGTCTCTTCCCGCACCTCCCACACCCCCTTCCCCGAGAATTGTCAGTCCACTCCCTTTCTATGCTCCTGATTCTATTATATTCACCAGTTTACTCTGTTCATCATATTTTTTATTCACTTGATTTTTAGATTCACTTGTTGATAGATATGTATTTGTTGTCACTTTGTTGTTCATAATTTTTATCTTTATCTTTTTCTTCTTCTTCCTCTTCTTAAAGAATACCCTTCAGCATTTCATAGAGTACTGGTTTGGTGGTGATGAACTCCTTTAGCTTGTTCTTATCTGTGAAGCTCTTTATCTGACCTTCAATTCCAAATGATAGCTTTGCTGGGTAGAGTAATCTTGGTTGTAGGTTCTTGCTATTCATCACTTTGACTATTTCTTGCCACTCCCTACTGGCCTGCATAGTTTCTGTTGAGAAATCAGCTGACAGTCGTATGGGTACTCCCTTGTAGGTAACTGACTTTTTTTCTCTTGCTGCTTTTAAGATTCTCTCTTTGTCTTTTGCCCTTGGCATTTTAATTATGATGTGTCTTGGTGTGGTCCTCTTTGGATTCCTTTTGTTTGGGGTTCTATGCGCTTCCTGGACTTGTAAGTCTATTTCTTTCAGCAGGTAGGGGAAGTTTTCTGTCATTATTTCTTCAAATAGGTTTTCAATATCTTGCTCTCTCTCTTCTTCTGGCACCCCCATAATTCGGATGTTGATACGCTTGAAATTGTCTCAGAGGCTTCTTACACTATCTTCATATTTTTGGGTTCTTTTTCCTTTTTGCTTTTCCGGTTGGGTTTTTTTGCTTCTTTGTATTTCAAATCTTTGACTTGATTCTTGGGATTCTCTAGTCTGCTGTTGGATCTCTGTATATTATTCTTTATTTTAGTCAGTGTATGCTTAATTTCTAATTGGTCCTTTTTCATATCCTTGAGGGTCTCACTAAATTTCTCGGAGGTTTCTAGAAGATTCTTGAGTAACCTTATAACCGTGGTTTTGAACTCTATATCCAGTAGTTTGCCTTCCTCCATTTCTTTCACTTGTGACTTGTTTCTTTGTCTCTGCATTTTGGCTGCTTCCCTGTGTTGATATAGTGGCTTTGTGTGCTAGGTGTCCTATAGGGCCCAGTGGCTCAGCCTCCCCAGTCACCTGAGGTGGACGCTCTTGGTGCACCCCTTTGTGGGCTTTGTGCACAGTCTTGTTGTAGTTAAGCCTTGACTGCTGTTGGTATCACTGGGAGGAATTGACCTTCAGACCAATTGGCTGTGAGGACCAGTTGTGTCTACAATGGGAGAACTGCTGTGCTGGAAACACTCTTATGGGGCAGGACCTGCTTCAGTGGGGCTTTGGTGCTCACAGATTCTGCCCCTGAGTGTGTCTCTTATGGATCTGAAGAGTTGTAATCTGGTGTGGTCTCACTTTGACCCCTGGGTACACTGGCTCTTGGATCTCCAAGGAGGTGCAAAGTCAGCCACTGCCTGAGGCCACCCAGCAGGAGCTACAGAGAGATCTGCCTATTCCTCCTCTTTGTTTGGAACTTTGGAGGTGCCCAGATGAGGTGCAGCTGTGAAGCAATGCAGGCTGCTGATGAGCCTTAGGCCTTCTTTTGGAAGCTCTGGGGTTCTTTGACCCAGCTGCAGTTTGTTAGGTTAGGTTGCAAAAGGCCAGGCCATTCGTATGCAAATGCCTCTGTGCACAGCTTGAGTGGGATTGTAAATTGGGTGGGGGGCGGGGTTTCAGGGAATCACAGGGCAGTGCAAACAGCAATGGTTGCCCCTCAGCCCTGCCCCGGATAGGTCCCTGGGTCTCTGTCCCGCAGCCCGTGCAGGAACAATGAATGCTGCGACCACCTCTGAGAGAAAGCCGCCCTCGCATTCCTGTTCCAATGCCAAACAGTCCAGTTTCTCCCCGTATGAGTCTGGGTCCCCAGAGTCTCGCCTGGAACTGGAGTTCAGAACAGTCGGGAGTTTGTATCTCCCTCCCGATTGAAAAAAACCACAGTGTACCCAGTTGCCAGCCCGTTTCGCACAGGCCTTCATACCTCCGCTCTTCCGCACCTCTGCACCTCCTACCAGTCTAGATGTCCTTTCTCTTTCCCTCTAGTTGTCGAACTTCCACTCAGCCAGCCTTCCCGTGGTTCTGGATGATATCCGTTTTGTCTTTTAGTTGTAGTTTTGATGTGGTTGTGCGAGGCAGCAAGTTCAGGGTTTTACCTGTGCCGCCATCTTGGTTCCTCATATTCCAGATTCTTAATGCCTGGGCTTCTAGCAAAGCCAGATCTCACTTGCATTACTTGAGATTCATACATATTGTTTGTGTAGTTATAGCACATTCATTTTCTTTGCTGTATAGTATTCTATTTAATGTACATATCAGGGTTCATCTATTCTATGATTAGTGGACATTCAAGTTATTTTCGTTTTGTGGATGAAGTTACTGTGAACATTTTTGCATATATCTCTAGGTAGAATTTTTGTTGAGTACCCACCTAAGAGTGGAATTGAAAGGTCATGGAGTATGCATATGTTTAATAAATAATGAAATGCCAAACTGTTTCCTGAAAGGATTGTACAAAATGTACTGTCCTAGCAGCATGTGAGAGTTCCCTTTACTCTAACATGTTATTGCCAGTCTAGTTAGTTTTAGCTATTATATACTACTAGAGGCTTGGTGCACAAAAATTTGTGCACTCGGCGGGGGGGGGGGGGGGATCCCCTCAGCCCGGCCTGTGCCCTCTTGCAGGCTGGGACCCCTTGGGGGATGACAACCTGCTGGCTTAGGCCTGCTCCCCAGGGGATTCGGCCTAACTTGGCAATCAGACATCCCTCTGGCAGCCCAGCAGCCCTCGGGGGATGTCCACTTGCCAGCGGAGAGCAGACCTAAGCTGCAGTCAGACATCCTTAGTGCTGCTGAGGAGGTGGGAGAGGCTCCCACCACCACCGCTGTACTGGCAGCCATCAGCCTGGCTTGTGGCTGAGCAGAGCTCCCCCATGTGAGAGGGCACTGACCACCAGAGGGCAGCTCCTGCATTGAGCGTCTGCCCCCTGGTGGTCAGTGTGTGTCATAGTGATCAGTCATTCCCAGTCTTTCTGCTGTTAGGGTCAGTTTGCATATTACCCTTTTACTATATAGGATAGAGGCCTGGTGCACGGGTGGGAGCCGGCTGGTTTGCCCTGAAGGGTGTCCCGGGTCAGGATGGGGGTCCCGCTTGGGTGCCTGGCCAGCCTGGGTGAGGGGCTGATGGCTGTTTTCAGGCTGGCCACACCCACTTCAGGGTGGGGGTCCCCACTGGGGTGCCTGGCCAGTCTGGGTGAGGGGCTGAGGGCCGTTTTCAGCCTGGCCGGCGCCTGAAGCTCCCAGCCTCTCCTTTTTTTCTTTTCTTTTTTTATTCTGGGATTTATTTACCTTCTATAATTGAAACATTGTTGCCGTCACTGGCGCTCCCAGCTCTGAGGCCACGGCCGGCTGAAAGCAGGTATCTGGGGTTTGTTTAGCTTCTATAATTGAAACTTTGTTGCTTCTGGAGCTCAGAGCCGGGCCGTGGCAGGCAGGGAACCTTGGCTTCCTCTATCACTGGAGCAAGCAAGCCTCATGTTCGCTTCAGCTGCGTGGCTGCCGGCCGCCATCTTTGTTGGCAGTTAATTTGCATATCGTCCTGATTAGCCAATGGGAAGCATAGCGGAGGTACGGTTAATTACCCTTTTTGTCTTTTATTAGATAGGATTACCTTATTGTGGATTTAATTTGCATTTCTCTGATTACTAATGAGATCAAGTGCCTTTTTGTATATTTGTTGGCCATTTGTATATTATTATTTGTGAATGTGATATATCTCCTATATTACTATCTGGAAGCCTTATTTTTCCTTTCACATTTATACCTACAGTTTACCTGGAATTGGTTTTTGCTTATGGTGTAGATCAGGTTTCTTTTTGTCTCCATATGAGTATCCAGTTGCCTCAGTACTACCTGTTGAAAAGATCTTACTTTACATTGTCACCTTTGTCAAAAATCAAGTGTTCATATAGCAATAGTCTTATCCTGGGCCCTCTGTTCTATTCAATTGATCTTTTTATCTACCTTTTATCAGTAAGATGCTATTTTAACTATTGTATGCATATTCTTTTAGATTTTCTACATGCAGTTATATAACAATGAATAATAACAGTTGATTTTTTTCTTTACAATTCTTGTATTTCTTTTTCTTCCTTTACAAACCTGTACAGTACTTTTTTTTTCTTGCCTTACCCAGCTGACAGGACCTCCAGTATAGTGTTAAATAGAAGTTGTGATGATAGCACCCTTATCTTGTTCCTGATTTCAAAGGGAAATTTCACTACATTTCACCATTGTTTAAAGTGGGTTACTTTTTTAAAATAAACCTTATATCAGATTAAGCAATCTCCCCCCCCCCCTTTAAATCCTAGATTTTTAGTTTTATCAGATGTTTTTTTCCTGTGGCTTTTGAGATGATTATATGTTTTTCTCCTTTATTTTGTTAGTATGGTAAATTGTGTATGTTGATTTTCCACTGTTCAACTAACTTTACAATGCTGTCATACACCCAACCTAATCAGGATGTTTTGGCCTTTTTATGTATTACTGAATACAGTGTATTAAATTTTTGTTTAAGGGTTTGTATCTATGTTTATAAGTAAGGTTGATTTATTATTTTTCTTTTCTAATAGGAACTTGTCAGGTTTTACTGGCCTTGTGAAGGACTCCTTTGTTTTCTTGTCCCAGGAAGATTTTATGTAAGACTGATCATTATTTCTTCTTTACACATTTGTTAGAATTCACCAAAGAAACAGTCTGAATCTTGAGTTTTTATGATAAGGTTTTTATTTACACATTAAATAGTTTAATGCTATTCAGATTTTTAATTTCAGTTTATGACAATGTTTCTGAAACTGTTTCAGTTTAAGACAATGTTTTTCTAACACATTGCTTACTTTACATTTTTAAATTTATTGACAAAGTTTTTCATAGTATCTTATGTTATAATTTTAATATCTGTAGGATCTGTAGTATGTCCCACCTTTCCCGACATTTGGTTATTTTGCTCCCTCTCTCTTTGTCTCTAATCAGTTTCCCAGGCATTAATCAATTTTATTACTTTTTTAAAGAACCAGCTTTTAAAAAAAATTCTTTTAGCTTTATTGAGGTATAATTGACAAACAGGAATTATATGTTCTTAAGGTACCATAACAATTTGATGTTTTAGGATATATATATATATATATATATATATATATATATATATAGTGTAATTATTGCCACAGTTAAACTAATTAACATATACATCACCTCATATAGTAACCATTTTCTTTCTGTGTGTGTGTGTGTGTGTGTGTGTGTGTGTGTGAGAAAAATTAAGATTTACCCCCTTAACAAGTTTCAAGTATGCAATACAGAATTTATTATGGTCACCATGCTGTACATAGATCTCCAGAACTTTTTTATCTTGTATAAGTGAAACTTTGTACCCTTTGCCAGTATCTACCCACTTCCACCTCCCCCAAGGGAGCCATTCTACTCTCTGTTTCTGTAAATTTTTCTAACTTAGATTCCACATATGTGAGATCATGCAGTACTGTCTTTCTGTGTCTGACTTATTTCACTTAGCATAATGTCCTCCAGTATGGTTCATTGATACAGTCACAAATAACAGAATATCTTTCTTTTTTAAGCCTGCATACTATTCCAGTGTGTGTGTGTGTGTGTGTGTGTGTGTGACACATTTTCTTTACTCGTTTATCCATGCATAGATATTTAGGTTGTTTTCATATCTTGGCTATTGTGAACATGGAGGTGTAGAGATAGCTTCAAAATTCAGATTTTATTTCCTTTGGCTGTATACTCAGAAGTGGGATTGCTAGATCATAAGGCAGTTCTATTTTTAATTTTTTGAGAAACTTTCTATTGTTTTCCATTGTGGCTACACCAAAATACATTCCTACCAATCGTGTACAATGATTCCCTTTTCTCCACATTCTCGTCAGTTCTTATAAAGAACCAGTTTTTTATTTTTTTGATCCTATTATATGTATGCTTTCTTTTTTATTAATATCTGATAATATTCCTTGTCATTTCCCATCTGCTACATTTTTTTCAATTTCTTGAAATTAATGTTTAGCTCATTGACTTAACCTTTTTGGTGTGTTTGTTTTCTGATACATTTGTTTAGGGCTAGAAATTTCTCTCTAAGCAATTAATTTATTCAACTTTTAATAATAGCATTTTCATTATTATTCAGTTCCAAATAGTTTCCATTTGTATTTGTAAAGGTTAAGTATTCTCTCTTATTTTGGGATAGAGTGTTTCCAAAATACAAATTTAACCTAACAGTTGTTTTGTTCAAGTTTCTTATGTCCTAACTGGCATTTGTCTACTTATTTATCAGTTATTGAAGTATGTTAAAATCTCCCACAATTATTATGGATTTACTTATTTTTCCTGTACTGCTAATTTTTCTTTCTGTACTTTAAAGCTATGTATTAGATATTGTAAGCTTAATATATTTTCCTGATGAATTGAAACTTTGATAGTTACCAAATATCCCTCTTTGTCCATAATAATGATTTTTATCTTAAAGTTTAGCTATACCAGCTCTGGTCCTATCCTATAACTTTTACTCTTTCTGTATCCATATATTTTAGGTGTGTTTCTTATAAACAGAATTTAGGTGTATTCTTTTAAGCAGTCTAACCATAAAATCCTAAATTCATTTAGCCCATTTAAATTTAATTGGCCAAGAACACTAGCTTCATTTCCAGACAGACTTGGATTTGAATATTGGCTCTACCAATAACCAGATATGTTATCTTGAACTTGTCACGTTATTATCTCTAGGTGTGGCTCCTTGTCTATAAAATTGAGATAGTAATGACTACTCCCAGGTGTATTAAAGGTTAATGAGCAAGGATATAGTAAATTTTAAGTGTTATTATGGAAGTAAGAGTAAGTCTGATGTTTGGAAGACAGCCTTCCTGGAAAATATAATCCATATTAGTAGGAAAAGAAATAAGGTTAAGTGGGTAATGGGAAACCAAATATGGTAACATTGAACTTAGAAATAAACACTTGATCTGGTGGGAGCTATTATAAGTTCTTGGGCAGGGGATTAGCATGACAAACCTGGAAATACTAATATTTTGGAATGCATTCTCAAGTGGAAGTCAGCCTATCTGGTATACCTGAGAACCTGTTGGCAGTTGTAAAAAGAAGCTGTATCAGCAAAGGATGAAGACCTAAAGAACTCCTACAAAGGAAGTTAACAGTATTTTGGAGTGACAGGAAAGCATTGAATTATGATTAGCTGTCTACACCTGTAAAGTTACCTCAAGAAGTAAAGATGTTGCCCTAACCCAGTGGTCGGCAAACTGCGGCCCCTTGAGTGTGGCTCTTCCACAAAATACCACATGCGGGCGCGCATGAACAATGTGAATGAAACTTCGTGGCCACACTCAAGGGGCCAAAGAGCCGCATGTGGCTCGCAAACCGCAGTTTGCCGACCACTGCCCTAACCGGTTTGGCTCAGTGGATAGAGCATCGGCGTGCAGACTGAAAGGTCCCAGATTCGATTCCGGTCAAAGGCATGTACCTTGGTTGTGGGCACATCCCCAGTAGAAGGTGTGCAGGAGGCAGCTGATTGATGTTTCTCTCTCATCGATGTTTCTAACTCTCTATCCCTCTCCCTTCCTCTCTGTAAAAAAAAAAAAAAAAAAAAAAAAAAATTAATAAAATATATTTTTAAAAAAAGAAGTAAAGATGTTGAATGTGAAAGTGGCTGGAAGTGGTTCCATGTTTGTTGCAATATTATTCTATTTCAGGATGTCACAATCACATTAATGTATATAGGGTAGAAGCAGTTGTTCCTTAAATTTATTAGCCAAATCATTGGAGTAGAGTTAAGAGTATTCTCTTACAGCGCTGCTACTAACTCATTATGCAATTTAAAGTTATTTGCTTCTTGGCTACTTCAGATTTTAGGTAGGAATAATTTCTGATAGTCTACCATTCAGATTTATTATAAAATGATCAATGTGTAAGTATTTTAGAAATCAAAGTCAAAAGTCACTTTAAAATAATTATTTTCTCTGGGACATATAAAATTAAGATTTAATAATTATCAATTAACACTCTAAAGTAGTAGACTTTCTAAGTTTTAAGTGAACAAACTTTTTGGTATCTAGGATTCCTTTGTAATCTTAAAAGCTGAGACCTCTAAAGAGCTTTTATGATTATGTTCACTTACCTACCTGTCTACCTATACTATACTATATTTTCTGTAAAAAAGAAAAGAATGAAATTTCTTTAGTTTTGTAAATCTCTTTAATGTATATTTTGCTTAATAGAAGACAGCTGGATTCTTTTATCTGCTTTTGAATTCAATCTGTGAGATATCACATGCCATATAACTACTGTAAAACTCCACTTTATACTCATAAGAAAATGAGTGAAAAATACAAAGTTTCTTAGTCTTATTAAGATAGTTTTGACCTTGCTAACTCCTGAAATGTTTTCAAGGACCACAAGGGTTTCCAGACATTTTGAGAACTGCTGCTCTAATGTATTTCTATATATGTCTACTAAAACAGTTGCTGAGGAAGCGTTAGATAACTGGGTGCTAAAAGTAGTTACTGCTATTGCCACAAAGAAGTAGTGTGCAATGCTACTAAACAAATTTGTCAAAAATATTTAAGGCATATTATTGTATTTCAATGCATTCTTTCTGAAATGTATATTTTTTTAATTTCATATAATCACATTTTGAAAATGATTTCTAAATGTCGAAATCAAATTTGCAGCCCAGGTAGTGTGATTCAGTGGTTGAGCATTGACCCATAAACCAGGAGGTAATGGTTAGATTCCTGGTTGGGGCACATGCCTGGGTTGCGGGCTCAATCCCCAGGAGGGGACATGCAGGAGGCAGCCAATCAGTGTTTCTCTCTCATCACAGATGTTTCTGTCTCTGTCTCCTTTACCTTCCTCTCTGAAATCAATAAAAATATATTTTTAAATCAAATTGCCAAATCCAATTCATATATTAACAAATACAATTCTTACAAATGGAGTAGATAAATTTAGTGTCACTTTTGTGACATAACATGATTAAGTTCCCTGTACTTTGTTAAATCAGGCTCATCCCTATGCAACCAATACAGGAGCACCCAAATACATAAAAAAACTTCTGGAAGATATCAAGGGAGAGATTGACAGCAATACAATCATAGTAAGGGACTTTAATACCCCATTGACACCACTGGATAAATCCTCTAAACAAAAAGTCAGCAGAGAAATAGTAATCCTAAATGATTCACTAGATCAGATGGACTTAATTGATGTCTTCAGAACATTTCGCCCCAAAGCTACAGAATATACATTCTTCTCAAGTGTACACAGGACATTTTCAAAGATAGACCACATATTAGGAAACAGGCAAAGTCTCTTCAAACTCAAGAAGATAGAAATCATATCAAGCATCTTCTCAGATCACAATGGCATAAAATTAGAAATCAACTACAATAAAAATAATGAAAAACATCAAACACTTGGAGGCTAAATAGTATGTTATTAAACAATGATTGGGTTACCAAAGTGATCAAAGAAGAAATAAAAAGCATCCTGGAAACAAAGGACAATGAAAACACAACAATCCAAAATCTATGGGACATAGTGAAAGCCGTCCTGAGAGGGAAGTTCATAGCTCTACAGACCTACCTCAAAAAAAAAGAAAGAAAGAATAAATGCT